ATAGATAGATAGATAGATAGATAGATAGATAGATAGATAGATAGATATTAGATACAGATATATAGATGGATAGATACATAGATAGCGATAGACAGATATGTATGTATGTATATATGTGCATTGTTTCTGTTCAACATGTTAACCTTAAAATTTTAACTGAACAGATACCTGCGAACGTTTGCCCTTTATTAGAGTCATTAAAAAACTATATTTCTAATTGAGAATTATATTTTTTCCTAGACCTTGTCATAATTAAATGTGCGAGATCCTAAAAAGCAACAAATCTGCATTCTTTCAGTGAATATACAATAGGTATGCCATATATTTATATAATTCTCTAGCTTATAACAGATACACAATACAACTGGAAAAGCAAGTAATTCATATAGCTTTAAGAAAACATCTTTTTATTAAAACTGACAATTGGGCAATAAATAAATGGGTGGATAAACACAGCTAGACCCAACTTCATAAAAGGCACACTGGATCTAAAAGCACAGGCTAATGCCAACATCTATGGTGGGTGACTTCAATACTCCATTCTCACCAATAGATAAGTTACCTGGACAAAAGCTAAGCAGAGAAATTCTGGAGCTTAAACAACATCACAAATCAAATAGACCTGACAGACTAAAGAGTACATATTTTCCTCAGCAACCCATGGAAATTTCTCCAAATTTAACATGTTAAGACACAAATCCAGTCTGAACAAATGAAAGAAAATTAAAATAGCATCCTGCATTTTATTGAACCACAGTGGAATAAAGCTAGATATCAAAAGCAGTAGAAACTATACAAACAAACTAACAAAAACAAAACACTCTCCTAAATGATAACTGAGTCAAGAAAAAAAATTTTAATTCTTAGAATTGATTAAAAATGAAAATACAACACATCAAAATCTGTAGCACACAATGAAGGCAGGACGAAGGGGAAGTTTTATAGCAGTAAGTGCCTGAATTAAAAGCAAAAAAAAAAAAAAAAAAAAAAAAGATAGCCAGGTATGGTGAAGCATAACTTTCACAGTACTCAGAGTGCAGAGGCAGGCCAAAGCTTGTCTGGTTTACACAATGAGTTCAAAGCCAGTCAAGGATTCAGAGCAAGACCATGTTTCAAAGCAAACAAACCTTAACGGATTGAAAAATAATCAAAAGAAAGAGATAAATCTAAAAGAAACGGATGACCTTCTAGATGCATATGACCTACCAAACTTAAGCTAAATAACATAAAGAGACACATAGCAACCAATGAAATATAAAAAACCACATACTATCATTAAATACAGTAATTAGATACAGGCCTCGTATAAAATCCAATATCCCTTCATAATAAAATTCCTGAGGTACCTAACAAATATATCTCAACATAATAAATGTAATAACAATAAGCCCACAGTCACTTCATACTAAACAGGGAAAAACTCGAATCATTTCCATGAAAATTATGCAACAGACAAAAATGTCCACTGTCCCCCCATTCATAAAGTGCTTAAAGTCTTAGCTTGAGCAATAATACCAAGAGAGAGAAATAAAGAGAATACAAATAGGAGAGTATATTAGTTAGGTCTCCGTAAAGGATCAAGATCAATATATATATATATACATATACATATATGTGTGTGTTTGTGTGTATAGTATCTGTATACATATACATACATACTTGTATATATAAGTATATATGTATATGTATAAATACTACTTGTCCTAAGTATGTATATATGTATCAATATATTTCTGCATAGTTTATTAAAATGTGTGGGTATACATATGAAGAAAGCCTATTTTTTTACTTACTAGGCTACTCTTTGCCACACTGTTATATACTAAGACAAATTTATGAAGTAATGGGCCATTTCTGAAATACTGGTAAGTAATGCTAGATGGGTTCAGAGAGCAGTTAATAGGGCAAATTTCTAACTCTTCGTGGAGCCAGTATATACCTCATCAGGTCACAGTTAGATTCATGTTTATAATGTGGAGTGTGTCTGACTTAAATCTTTCCTCAGGATAAGTTGGAGTTGGTCTGTAGCTATGTTTACAGGCCAATGTGAATTCATGGTCATGGGTCATCAAACAAATATTACTATTTAACCTGATACAAATATTAGGCTTCAAAGTTATAGTCATGTTTCAGCCGATAGACCAAGATGCAACTTTGGTCGGTGTTAAAGCTCATACCCAGGTGGACAATTGTCCAGATTGGTCTGTATTATACCTCATTGTAAAATTAATGTGTAAGAACCCTGGTTCTAAGATTGTCACTGGGGCTCAGTATGTAGACTAGGTTTGTACAGACCACACCAAATGTTAGGACCCAAGGTTCACGTTAGCTTTTAGACAATGCTGTGTTCACTTTTACTTATAGAACTGAGACTCAATAAACCCAGAGTTATCTTTGTTTTGGAATTAGTATTCTTAGTGATTTTGCTGCCCAGAGAAAGGATATGCAGGAGTATGAATAGGGTGTATGCTCAATGATTCATTCATCAAGTTAAGTTTCAGTCAATGTCCATGATAAGATATTATGCTTGGTCTGATAATTAGATCTCAGTCAACGACTAGGCTCATCCAATGTCTAATATCCTGTATGGTGTCATATTAGGACATCATCTGTGATGTATCTGCATTTGTAGCTTTGTATTACTACAATACAATATCTACAGCAACATACACATGGTTTATTTAGCTCACAGTTTGGAAAGCTTAATTCCACGATTAAACAGTCGTACTGAATAAAGCTTTCTGGCAATGACACTGCATACAAATAAACAGGAAGTTGCATTCCAAGCCAGGAAACAGAGAGATGAAATGAACAGCTTTCTGGGCTCCCTTTTGAAGTCAGATCTCACCACGAACTTCTCATAATGCCTCAACTTTCTGTACTATCACTTTAGGGAACCACACTTTTACATTTGTGCTTTTACATGACAAAGTACACCAAAGCCAAAGGAGTGCCCTGGAGTTTTAAAACCACAACTAATATTTTATCTATAGACACCATGACCTTATGGCCATGATTTTAACTATGAATATGCACAGGATTGGAGGTGCATATCAAATTGTGATTTCTGAATTTAGTCAGTGTTAATGTACATACTTTGGGAATGTACATACTTTCTGTGGCTAGTATTGTACATACTAATGTACATACTTTCTGTGGCTAGTATTGGTCTTCATTTGGTGGACAAAGTATGACTCTATAACTATGACCTCTGCTATTATTTCAATTAGGTCTCTGTGGCAGTTTCTTTTTCTGTTGCTCTGGTAAAATATTCTGACATAAGCAACTCAAAGGTGAAAAGATTGATTTACGCTCATCCATTTAAGATACAGTCCATAACGATAGGCAAAGTCAAGGCACCAGAAGCTCAAAGCAGCTGGTCATATCACATTAACAACTAGAAAGCAGAGATGAGTGCACAGTGCTCAGCCCCTTTTGTCCATTTACATATTGTCCAAGATCCCATCTGGGTAGGGTAATAGTGCCACCCATGGATGGCAAGTCTTCCCACCTGAACTAACATAATCATGATAATACCTCAAGGCATGCCTAGAAACCAATTCTTTCAAGTTGACAATTCTAACCATCACAGCCCTATAAAATTGAATCTGGATGTAGAGGCTCCATTTTGAACTTTTCTAGAGTGTCTGTTTACTGAGTGCTAGAGGTTGTACTATCTATTTAACCTTTTAACCAGAACTTAGGAGTTAGCAATAATCAGGGTAAGATTTACTATGAAGAAGACTTTAAGAGCTACAGGAGTCCGTTTTTTGTTTGTTTGTTTGTTTGTTTGTTTGTTGGTTGGTTGGTTTTGTTTTGTTTTCATAACAAAGATGTTACATGTTGGTCTATGGATAAGGCTGGAATAATAATTTAAAA